AAGACATATGCAATACATACTAAATAATAATTATAATGAGTTATTTCTAAATGTATTAACTGTGTTAAAACTTTTCTTTGCGTTGCCAGTTACTATAGCAAGTGCTGAGCGCTCTTTCAGCAAATTAAAATTAATAAAGAATTATCTTCGATCCAGCATGTGTGCAGAACGCTTAATGCATTTGCTATATTAAGCATCGAAAAAGAAATTGCAAAAATTATAATTTTCCTGAAGTAATTCATGTATTAGCAAGAACAAAATCACGCTTTAAATAAACATGCATTAATATATGTTCGTGTTTGTAATTTTTTTTATTTTACAAAAAATGTAGGGCCCAAATAGTTTCTTGCACCCGGGCCCCTTTACAGAGAAGGCCGGCCCTGGTTAATGGGTTAGGTCAAATGAGGTCAACACAAAAATACTTGGGAACAACATGGGACAGGTTAATAAAGCTACTCATCAATTTAAAATACCAGGATGTGATGAAGAAGAGGAGGAAGTTATTTGTGCTATACAAACTTTTTAAAAGTTTTTGTGTTTCTTTTGTTAAAGCTGTGTCTTTATTTTTAATGTCTGTTTTTATTTTATAACAAAGTCTAAAATGGTGTGCGTCAAACACATCTGGTAAAATACCAATGTTAATGTTCATTAAAATAAAAGACAGCAAGTCAAGAATAGAAGTAAACTGAAAGTTGGTTTTAATGTAATTTTATAAAAAATTTGATGCAAATGACCACAAAAGCCATAATTATGCCAATAGAAGAGGAATGGAACAAATTTACAAAGGATACAGTACCGAATAAAGTGGATGTGTAGTGGATGTGTAGACTAAGGTCTTAAATTGTCACTTCATTATGAAATAAAATCATGTTTTTGTCATTTAATAGTAAAAAAGAAAATATTCAAGGCAGGTTGAATAGAAAACGGGAAAAATATCATTAAAATTTGGGAGGATGAACAATATATCATGGTAATTTTGACACATGAAACTTCAAATCAGTTAATAGTAATTGCAACTGGCAACATTGTTAACATGGAAGAACATAAGGCAACATGCCGAGAAAACAGCAGCACCTCTCAAGCAGTGCATAAAGGAAGAACAGCATAGTACTGTCAGATTTTTGACAAGCAAGGTATAAAACCAATTGAAATCCATTGATGCAAGCAGATATAGTATGAATAGAATTCTAGGTTCAAAAACAGCACAGTTCATCAGAAAATTCTTCACAGAATTCACTGCAGTTCCAGCACAGATTATGACACATGCTGATTAGTTTACCACTAGCTTACAACATTCCATAACTTGTTTGTTCTCCCTCATGTCCCATTGGTATATCTATATTGTTTTTGTATAAATATTTTTATTTTATCTATCACATTCTGTATTTATTTGTATTAATGTGCTCATAGTATGCTTGTAGATACACACACAGAGAACATTGCTTAAATTTATATTTATTCCATTTATGATTGTATTCTGTAATTTTTTTGTTTTTGTTCCATTTATAGAAACAATCTAAGTTCTTAAATGTTCTATTTTTTAAATCTTTTTTATTTCTTTATTCTAAATGATGATCATTAAAGTATAATGTAACTATGTTTTCAACCAAATTTAAAATTGCTGGAATTTCACGGTGATGTTTGTATTAATTCTTTGCATAATAAATAAACTAGTTTAATTTTAGAATATCTTTGCTTGGATTCTTGTCAGATTTTAATTTTATGATGTCAAATGATAAATCACATAAAAGTAAAGTAGTTTATGCATTACAAGGAATTAGAATTCTTTATGAGTATACAAGAGAATGATGCCAATGACTGATTTTAAGAGCCATCTCCCCATTTTTGAAGATGCTTATTATTATTTTGCTCTGCATCATTTTAAATTACAATGTCTTCTTTTCTCTTAACATAAATTTATTAAAATTTTTAATAGTCTGTGCGATGATTTACGTAATATATCGAGTTATGAAATCTTCAGAAAAAATGTAAAAAAATGGAAAAAAGGTTAAGACTCAACGTTATTTGTTGTTAATTAATTTTTCTTTCTCAGCTCGCGTCCTGATTTTTGTTTGTTTGTTTGTTTGTTTTGATTAACTGTTAAGATGCTTGTAAAAGGCCAACCTGGCCACAGTGTCTTTTGAAAAATAAAATAAAAATAAAATAAATGCCGCGATTCGCATAATTTCGCGGCGTTGTCGGGTTCCATGTTGCAATTCGCAAAATTTCGCGGCGTTGTCGGGTTNAAAAAAAAAAAAAAAAAAAAAAAAAAAAAAAAAAAAAAAAAAAAAAAAAAAAAAAAAAAAAAAAAAAAAAAAAAAAAAAAAAAAAATACAGGTTAAATAAGTGCAAATAATATAAAAAGTTAATATTGTTTTCAAAGAATTTTTTTAAATTATAAAAATGGCACAGCTCTGTAAAGTTAAGCAAAATACAATAGAATCTTGTTTTAATAGATCACTCTGGCTGCCAAAAATCATCCATTGTACTGAGAATCTGTTATATCACGAACAACAGATTTCCTGCATACTCAGGAAAATATCCATTTTAAAATTATTTCTGCTTTTTAACCCCTACATACAAGAAATATCAGTACTTGAAATTATTCAGTTTCTTGAGATCTCTATTCTTTATTCTATAGAAACACATATGTTACAAGTTTGTATATTATGCTGTATATATGTAGAATAAAGCTGACAGAAACTGTATACACTGTAAGCACAAACAGATTCAAAGTATATATGCTCATTAGCACTTCACTTGACTTCATGGTTTGTTTTGATGCTGCTTTTCTGCCTATTGAATACAACAACTGCTTGATATTAGCAATGTCATGTACAGCCTGTTTGTTGGTGCTGACACTCATCAGCAAGGTCTTCATGTCATAGAAAGACTCAATGGTCACACTAAATTTTGGCACTACACTTTGACCAAAATAAACATGCATTAATATATGTTCGTGTTTGTAATTTTTTTTATTTTACAAAAAATGTAGGGCCCAAATAGTTTCTTGCACCCGGGCCCCTTTATAGAGAAGGCCGGCCCTGNAAAAAAAAAAAAAAAAAAAAAAAAAAAAAAAAAAAAAAAAAAAAAAAAAAAAAAAAAAAAAAAAAAAAAAAAAAAAAAAAAAAAAAAAAAAAAAAAAAAAAAAAAAAAAAAAAAAAAAAAAAAAAAAAAAAAAAAAAAAAAAAAAAAAAAAAAAAAAAAAAAAAAAAAAAAAAAAAAAAAAAAAAAAAAAAAAAAAAAAAAAAAAAAAAAAAAAAAAAAAAAAAAAAAAAAAAAAAAAAAAAAAAAAAAAAAAAAAAAAAAAAAAAAAAAAAAAAAAAAAAAAAAAAAAAAAAAAAAAAAAAAAAAAAAAAAAAAAAAAAAAAAAAAAAAAAAAAAAAAAAAAAAAAAAAAAAAAAAAAAAAAAAAAAAAAAAAAAAAAAAAAAAAAAAAAAAAAAAAAAAAAAAAAAAAAAAAAAAAAAAAAAAAAAAAAAAAAAAAAAAAAAAAAAAAAAAAAAAAAAAAAAAAAAAAAAAAAAAAAAAAAAAAAAAAAAAAAAAAAAAAAAAAAAAAAAAAAAAAAAAAAAAAAAAAAAAAAAAAAAAAAAAAAAAAAAAAAAAAAAAAAAAAAAAAAAAAAAAAAAAAAAAAAAAAAAAAAAAAAAAAAAAAAAAAAAAAAAAAAAAAAAAAAAAAAAAAAAAAAAAAAAAAAAAAAAAAAAAAAAAAAAAAAAAAAAAAAAAAAAAAAAAAAAAAAAAAAAAAAAAAAAAAAAAAAAAAAAAAAAAAAAAAAAAAAAAAAAAAAAAAAAAAAAAAAAAAAAAAAAAAAAAAAAAAAAAAAAAAAAAAAAAAAAAAAAAAAAAAAAAAAAAAAAAAAAAAAAAAAAAAAAAAAAAAAAAAAAAAAAAAAAAAAAAAAAAAAAAAAAAAAAAAAAAAAAAAAAAAAAAAAATACAGGTTAAATAAGTGCAAATAATATAAAAAGTTAATATTGTTTTCAAAGAATTTTTTTAAATTATAAAAATGGCACAGCTCTGTAAAGTTAAGCAAAATACAATAGAATCTTGTTTTAATAGATCACTCTGGCTGCCAAAAATCATCCATTGTACTGAGAATCTGTTATATCACGAACAACAGATTTCCTGCATACTCAGGAAAATATCCATTTTAAAATTATTTCTGCTTTTTAACCCCTACATACAAGAAATATCAGTACTTGAAATTATTCAGTTTCTTGAGATCTCTATTCTTTATTCTATAGAAACACATATGTTACAAGTTTGTATATTATGCTGTATATATGTAGAATAAAGCTGACAGAAACTGTATACACTGTAAGCACAAACAGATTCAAAGTATATATGCTCATTAGCACTTCACTTGACTTCATGGTTTGTTTTGATGCTGCTTTTCTGCCTATTGAATACAACAACTGCTTGATATTAGCAATGTCATGTACAGCCTGTTTGTTGGTGCTGACACTCATCAGCAAGGTCTTCATGTCATAGAAAGACTCAATGGTCACACTAAATTTTGGCACTACACTTTGACCAACATCTGAATGTTCATTAGATGGCTCCTCCTCAATTGTATCAGTCTGATGACTCTTTTTGTACAATTCTTCAATTTAACATATCCCAGATGTAACAAGTACATGATTGAACTACAAATTCCTGGAAACAAATTGAGAAATCAAAGTTTACAATTTACAATAGATGGGGCTAGAAAAAAATCCATTTTTCAAGTTATAGACCTTCTGAAAGGAGATAAAATTACATTGATTTGGCAGAACCTGGAAAAAATCCATTGTTTCACAATCCATTATAATAAGATTCTACTGTACAAGGTTGGTCAATTGAAGACAATGAAAGAAAACTTCCTAATATCTTATATATCAAATAAACTGTTAATTTAATAAGAATGTAATATTTGTGAACATAATTATTATTTGAGAGAAATATTACAAAATTTTTCAAATAGTACATGATAGAAATTTAATATAATTACTTTAATTACTTACCCACATGCAAGCTTCTAATCTTACTTTACTCATGATAGCTAATATAGTCATTGCTTTGGTCCCTTCTTCTGGACATATAATTCTGCAATACAAAAAATAAATACTTAATTGCCAAAAATATAATTATCATTATAAGAAATTTTTTACATTAAAATTGGATTACTAAATGTTTTGTGATAACTTAGTTATTTAAAATTATTTTTGGGTATCATTTCTATTTCTTGAATGAGTATTGTGATAACATATTAATTTCCTCGACAGTTTTACATTTTTATGTATATATAGACTATATAAATATCTGTAAATACTAAAATACTGATAAAACAATTTTCTTTGCCTTCATGTTTATGTACAGATTTTTAAATTAACATTAATTCAAATTATATCTAAATAATGCTGACTAAAATTCTGCAATTTTTAATTTTATTATTAATGTAATTGAAAACTATAGGTAGGTGATATTGTTATCATGTATTAAATTTAACAATTAGACATAATTTAGTTAGTTAATTAACTTAAAATGTTTTTAAGTAATTATCAAGCTGGAGTGGAATTAAAAAGAAAAGAAGTTTCTGCAAATCAGGCAGAACTAAACAAATGAATGAGCATAAGATATGCTCATTCATTTGAGTAGGATAGAATTATAGTCAACTAAGGCAGTGGTTCTTAGCCTTTTTATACTCACAGCCCACCAATGGAATATTTCATAATTTTTTTTGTGACCCCCATTTTTTTAATAATAATTTATATTTGTTAAATTATCTATAATAAATTGATTTTTTTTATTATTGCTTTATTTTTTTATATAATAATGAAATAATAAAGTTATGTTTTACATTTATCTATTTAAATAACATTCAAACTTCACAATTAAACATAAAAACTCATTAATTTTTAACAAAAAATAAAATAAGAAACATTTAAAAATTCATAGAAAAAACAAAAAATAATCAAAAATAATTTAATGAGATTTCTGCTGCTGAATATCCTCAACTAATTTGTTAATTCTTAGTTTGATTATTCGATCCAAAGTCGATGCTAAAACTAAACTAAAACACCCACAACTTGTAAAGTTTTGCATATCTTTTGCAAAAACATTTAAATTTTCAAAGCCTACTACTAAGCATACTATTTCACCTAATTATTTTTAAAATTCCAAGCATTAATAGTTTCTTAGAATTACTTTGGAATAAAAGATGTAAATACTGCAGTGTAAGTAGCCTATCTGCATTTATTTCTTCTGTACTAACAAATAAATAAAAAAAACTAAATATGAAAACTTTATCTTTTTATTTCACTTTTCAATACGATATTTGGTTATACATCAATTTTCTTTTTATTATATTCTGAAGGAAATTTTGCATAATTTGACGGCCCCCAGCAAACTTCTTATGGGCCCCCAGGAAGCCACGACCCCTGTTAAGAAACACTAAACTAAGGGACATTAAGAGTATGTGATCATTAGACATCCCATTTGATGTGATATCATTTATAGCTCCTGGTAGCATAACTAAATAATGTATACTCAGTATGAATGAGTTTGAATTCATGTTCTGCTAAGATTTTGGAAAAATCTTGATTACTAAAAAGAATTGATAAATTCATAGTAGCAGTTACTGAGTTTTTTCAACCTGTGTTATCCTAAATTTTTCAATATATGAAAATAATTTTTTCTTCTTTAAAACTTACACCTGTAAGTTTTTTAAATAATACTGTTATATTGATCAATTATATAAAATTTTCAGTACACTGGCATATTTTCAGGTTATATGTGCCACTTCATTCTTTCAAAAATAATGTAAGTATTAATTATTTAATTCTAGATATATTTTATTATTAGTTGGAATATAACTAAAAATGTATCTGAATATATTAAATAATTAAATCTACTTACTCATCAGGATAGGGTGGTTCAGGAAAATTTACACTACTGCATTCATATGCTGCTAATGTTACGGCAGCAATGTGTGGACCCTGAAAATTTAATATATATTAATTTATGAAAGTATCAATTTAACAAGAAATTTATCTGAAAATATTATATCAACTTCCTTTTTAAAAAAATCATTCATAAAAATTTTGAAAAATTTTAGTCCTGAAATAAAATAAAAAAATTTTGAAAAATAACTTTCCTGTTGTTAATTCGCAAAATAAAAGTTTATTTATTATTAGTCTAAAATTTTTTAATAAATAAAATCAATCAAGAAAACACATTCCAAATTATGAGAAATATAGTTGCATACAAACAAAAAAAACTTGGGAAAAGCTAAACAACATACAGTAGAAGTTCATTCATTAATCAAGCACCTTAGATTTTACAAATACGTGAGCCACTCACTGCCCGGCACACGTATTTGCAAAATCTAAGTGACTTGTACAACATGGAATTCATATAAAACGGAATTATCAACAGTCGGGGGGTCGACTGTACACATAAGAAAATAGTTTTTTCCTGTATCATACAAATAACTTGCTAATTTGGGACATTATAGCAAAGTGAAAAGTAAATGTATTACACTTAACTGCAATCATGTTTGATATGAAACCATTAATGTACAAATTATTACAAATATATATAGGCTGCAAGCATTGGCAAATAAAATCTTCATTTGATGAAAATAAATTCAATTTGCAAAATTTCCAGTTGGAACACTGAGAGCAATGTTCATTCAGCACAATACAATGTAGACTAAGTTCTGCCTGGGTTTTCAGTATACCACATATTCAATTCATTAAATTATTCAACTTAATTATAGATGACTGAGATACACTGATTTGGTAATTCCGATAATAATAAAAATAATAATAATAATAACTGACAAACACAATAAAATCACATACATTATAGACATATCCATTCCAAACACTTACAATATACAAAACACATGCTTTGAAAAATCAGCAAGTACACAGAACTCGTCCATGAAATAAGGGACCTGTGGAGGATGGATAGGGTGCTTATTGTACCTGTCATTCTCTCCTCTACAGGTATCATACCACACACACTACACAAAAGCCTGGGAACATTACAATTAGAAGAAACACACACATCACACTACAGGTGGCCACTATATTGAATACATGCCATATTGTTAGAAAATTCCTGAATACAGACACATACTCATTTAAATTTTGTCTTGTTTAGGTTATTATGCCCTGACTCTGGTCCGGCATAGTACACAGTCACCGGTGTTAACCAAGTATAACCCACTAAGTCCATCATAATAATAATAACTCTAATCAAAGCTTTTACTATTGACACTATACAAATTACTCTTGTAGTTGAGTAAAAAGTTAAATAGACCAATTTATATTCCAAATAATTTAAAAACAAATTTTCACAAATATATGTTTCAAAAGATTTTAGTAATAAAAATTTTCACAAAGTTTAAAAATTCTCTTTGCAGTTAAATTTCTCTTAAAAATTTAAAATTTTCCAGGCAGGTTGCTATCCTGTACACAACATTCAAAAGTCTAGACACAGATAAATTGATAAAATCAATACAATTCAAAATACTTTTAACTTACCAAATATAAAAGAAAAGTATGCAACCCAGTTCCCAATCCAACAGATGATAACACACCTAATCCAACCCAATACAGGCTCCAAAGAATTTTCTTTTCTATTACCATGACATACTGTAAAAAAGTTACAAAAAACTTGAAATGTAACATATAATCAAACAACTTATACTGAACTTTAAAAATTTTATTCTGATTTTTAATACAGAAAAATATAAGAATAGATTTTTACAATACTCATTTTATAAAAGGCAAGCAAGTACAACTGAAGCCATTAAAGTTCGCTAATAACAAACCTTACAAAAAAAAACCTTTTTATGGAAGACACTTAAAAGTAGAAAAAACATTTCTGATTTGTTCATTTTGTTTTTTGCTTGCTTTTAGCAGGCCATTTTTTTTTTTTTGTTATTTAGAGAAGCCTTTGCATGTTGTGTGGCATTGCTTTTGTGCAAATTATAAATATAAAAAGTAAAATAAGATTATTGTAGTGAAACAGTGTTGATATGCATATATGAAAAGAAGATTTTCAAGTATAAAATTGTCAATAAAAATCATAAAAGTACTTTGACTTTAACATTTTGGCTTTTCTTCAAATATGTCAAATTGTATAATGCTTTGGGTAAAATCCCAACATACAACATTTAAAAATTAAAATTTTATAAAATAAAACTTTTGAAAACATAAATTTGACAAAAATGCTCAAAAACTAAACATTGCAAAACATAAATTGTAGAAAGACTTGCTAAATTAAAAAAAAAAACACGATTTGTAAAAAAATAGAGAAACTATCTTTCTAGATTTATCAAAAATCTAAAACAACAGAGTGCAGTCAATATGACATTAATAAATAATAAAGTTTGGATTAATTTGATGTTGCATAATGTATATGTAATAGGGAAGAGATCTGGGAACCTGGTTAACTAATCTATTGTTTCAATTGCTTCAAGAACATTTCACACAGCTGCAATATTTGAGTGGGTACTTTCTTGCTGAAAGATACTTTGTCTACTGTTGAAAACAGTATGACTACCAAGTTTGCCACATAATCCACATACACAGCACAATGAATGTTTGCATATAAGAAGACTAGGTCTTATTCACTATCACAATTGACAGCATTATAAATCACAGCTGTCCAATAAACAGCAAGCAAAACTGTTTAATACAGCTCATTAGTTGCTAGAAAAATCTCATTTATACATTTGTTGAAACAAATTTATTATTATATTTAAAAACTAGTAAACTACCTATATGATATAATTTTTACTTCTTTGACACTACATATAAATGTTTTAATATTGAGGATGAAATTTCAGATGAAATCATTAAATCATCTTTTTATAATCCACTAGACACAAATGTGTTAAAATTAGAAACAAAATAACTCATACCTCGAAACAAAAACCTTTAAAATGCAGAGATGGCAAATAAGTTGAGGATTAACCAGGAATTTGCAACTGAAGAAGTGGTGAAGATGAAGCAGTAAAAAGGGTATGGGTTGGGTAGATGCAGTATATTTAGTATGATAAAAGTGATTTTTGTAATTGTTTATGGGATTCAAACTTAAATTTGATAAAAAATCAATATAATAAGCCAAATGATCAAGTAATGAATCAGGCTAATTTACCACTACTATTAATACAGTCAACCCCCCTATAACACTGTTGATTATTCCGTTTTATATGAATTCCATGTTGTACAAGTCACTTAGATTTTACAACATGGAATTCATATAAAATGGAATAATCAACAGTGTTATAGGGGGTACCAACTGTAATTAAATTATAAGTAATTTAATTGTTAATTTTGGTACTNTTGCGGGTTCAAGTTCCACTCTGGGCCAATTGTTTTCCTCCAGATTATTCTAAATTATTTAGTAAATATTAATTTAATTATAATTATTAAATTTAATAAGAGATGGCACCTAATGCCTTCCTCTAGTACCAAATTACTTATAATTTAATTACAGTAGGTGATCTGTTAACGAACATAATCCGTTCCAAGACTTTGTTCGCTATCTGAATTGTTCATTAACTGATTATCGATTTACTATAGGTTTTAATGGAAATTTAATTAATTCATTCTGGAGATCCCCAAAACTAAAAAATATATACTATACTTTCTTACTACATTTATTTATATGTAATAATAAAAATACATAATATATGCAGTCTTGCATTTTTATTAGTCATGTTTTTTCCGTTTGAAAGGGTTAAAGAATCTATCTAATGTCGATCGCTTTTCTCTCTTCTTCGGGATTTTTCGTAAAGTAATTAATAGCATTGTAATTGTAGCGATCCCTAAGCCTATTAACCTCAACCTGGTTTGGATGCCATTGTAAGACTGTCATTCTGACATCATCCCACTTCTTCAAAAAAATGTTTAATAGCAGATATCAACATTAATTCTCTTTTTCAGAAGAAAACATGTCTCTCCGAATTTCTTGGTGTTCTTCATTTAAGAGTTCTTGGGGTTCTTCTGTCGTCAGTTCCGTTTCAGGTTCCTATGAACTCTTCGATGTTCTTTATTTCTCAGATGTGATATTTGTTACTCCTTTAGCTGCTTGAGTCTTCTTGATTATACAGTATCTTTCTTAAATAAGATTGAACTGCGGCCTACTGTAGACCTGTTCACGCCATACTGCCCAGCAACATTAGGCATCTTCTGCCCACTCTCTACCTTTGCTATTAAATTCTCATTTTTCAAAAAGAAAAACAGACACAAAACTTAATGAGTGCCTACCCGACAGTCTCGCAAATATATAAAAGAATTGTTTTGTCAGAAAAATAAAAAGCTGGAATTACAAGGAAAAGTTTCAAAGTTTGGAGGAATACTATCCGATCGATATATAATGGCTTTAGCGTCGATGTCGCCGTCTCCCACACTTCAAAAAGTTTCAAATTGTTGCCCGAAGACAAGGGAAGACCAATCAGTATTCATTATTTTGCATCGTTTCTTGTGTTTGTTCTGTGGGGTGTTCATTATCCGATCATGTGTTCGTTGTCCGAACATAAAAATCTTTCGCGAAAGTGTTCGTTATCCGATCTGTTTGTTAACTGATTACCCATTGTATTAATAGTAGTGGTAAAGTAGCCAGATTCATTACGACGATCATTTGACTTCTTATTAAAATATTGGGCTTTGAAATGTTTATAAAAAAATGAACATAGAAAAAACATAGTTTTAAGTTGAAGAATTTTAATTTTTATAACTGAATTGGAACATGAATATAATATTAGCCTTATCTTGCTTATCATATACATAAAAAAGTTGAAAAATTTTGTATTTTAAAATACTACTAATAATGGGAAGAGGTTCTCAAAAACAGTTTAGTAGATAAATAATGATTCCTTGAAGACTTGTCTTTTGTGTGGTTGAGAATGTTACTTATTTAGAAGAACCTGAATAGATAAACAATTTGAAACTTTTTGTAGGCATGACAAAATATCTTGCCAATCTAATTTTGAAACTGCATAAGGTTTCAAAATTAAATCTGTTTCCAATCAATTCCAGTTTATTAAATCAGAAATTTGAAAATATTCAAGTAATCATTACAAAGTTAAATCTGCTAAAAATCAATTGATTAATAAGTGTGTTGTTCATTTCAAAATATCAACAATAAGAAAAAAATGACTTCAATAAATATTGAAAAATATTCACATTTATTAGTTAATTAAAAAAAATTACCTTCTGATGAGGCCCTTCCATTTGATAAATAAGAATCCCTAAGCCAATAAGTGTTGAAATAAATACCACTAACCATTTGAATTGCCATAATCTGGAAAAAAAAACTTATCAGAATATTTGAAAAATTAGAATAAATTTATTTAAAAAAGTAAACTTACTTAATAAAAAAATTTTCCAATAAAATTAGTAACTGATTTACAAAGTATCTAAATGTAGTTATTGGTTGTTTCCAAAGAACTAATTCTTCTCGCTCTCTCAATTCTTCCATTTTTAATCTTGCTCTATTGGCAATCGAAGATGAAGATGTCTGCACTGATATACTTGAAATTGGTAAAATTCCTCCATTACTATTACTGTTTAAATTTTTTCTTGCTTTTGGTAAAGTGTCCATATTTTCAGACATTTTCTGTTTATCCCACTTTTCCAATCGTTTTACCTATTCAAAAATTCCATTTTAAACAATTATTAATATATAAAAATATATTGTATTTGATCATTTTTGAAACATCATTAATTTTATAAGTTTATTAAATTAGTTTTTCAGTCATTTTTTACAGTAAATAATGGAAACATGAAAATAAAATAAATTTTTTGCATTATTAAAGTAATATTCATTTAACTCTGACAATTAATGAAAAACTGCAGCTTTTTACATTGAAAATGATTCTTAAAATTTACAAACTGCTTTACATTATAAGATTGGATCCTTTTTAAAAATATTTTGCTAATATTAAGATAAACTTCATTCAATTATACTAAATAAAGGTTATCCACATGTTTTCAAAACTTTTTATCTTTGTTCTTAAATACATTTAATTAAATTCTTAAATTCTCATTTGATCTTTGTTCAAATAAAACTCAGTTTTACAGAATGTCTTTAATACTGTTAGGCAGAGAACAAAACTAACAGTAAACCTCCAATTTGAGAGTGAACAAAAAACACAATAATTAAATCATTAATATACTAAATTAATACATATTAAAGAATTGAGTTAAAGTGTTTTCAGATTTGCATCATCCTTAAAACTGCTTAATACATCAAAGATATCAGGAGAGGAAAGGATTGAAATAGTGTTTCCCAAAAAGCCCATAATAGAAACATTGAGATGTTGGAAATCTTAAAGTCAGAAGATAACAGTGTCACTAAAAATTCCTTAAAGTACTTTCTAAAATAAAACGCCAGTAAGTCCTTACTCATATATAGTACAGACTAATGTTTTCGATCCTCTGCTCTGGATCTTCATCAGGTCAATGGTTTTTAGAATCTGAACACTTTTGATTATTTTTGCAAGTGTTGCATTTTTTAATTACTAGAGTTTTATTTTAAAAGGTACTTTAAATAATTTTTTATACTGTCACTCCAGTCTGTAGGAATTGTGAGTAGAACAGTGTCACTGTGGAATCAGTTTTGACTTATCGAGAAACAGTAAAGCAAAATTGTCAACTGTAAACATGAAGATCATCTCCCATACCTTGAAAATGACTGATTTCCAAAATGTTCAAAATATTATTACACAACCTATATAAAATTTTTTTTATTTTTAATTAACTGAGTTTTATCTGTTTTGTTTCCATCATGACATAGTTGTTGACATACTATGGTAATGATGTTATAAGTTGTTCTAAGCATTCCTGAAGATGGACGTAAGCTTGAAAGCACTTAAACTTAATTCATCATGATTTTAATACTTTTCCTCTATTAAAGTAAATACACAGGCAATCAAAAAGTTCCTGGAATAGAACTCCAGATGGCAAAGGAGAAATAAGATTGTGTAAAGACTACAATGTCTGTTCAGAACTACAACCAGTCTGGACATGTTTCAGTGCTCAGTGCCATTACTGTTCAATTTCATTTTAATTTGAATGTAGCATGTCACAATTCAAATGATATGCAAAACATTAAGTTCATGTACAAATTGAGAAAATTTGTTTCAGAGGTACTATTGGCCCTGCAGCAAATTTACAGTGATACTGTACTAAAGAAATCTGCAGTTTCTGACTGGTTTTCATGGTTTAAGAAAGGATAAGAGAAACTGGAGGATAAGAAGCACAGCAAAAAGCTGTCCACATCCAGAACCAAAGAAATGTTTGCCAAAGTGTAACAACTACTGTAATTTGTTCTGAGCCATAAATGACCGTGAGGTTGGAATAAGAAATAGTTATCTCTCACATCCATTCATGCAATTCTGACAATTTTAAGTTGAAATGTGTCAGTGAAAAGTGTGTTGCATAGCAGCTAACCACATATCAGCTAGAATGTCGCATGCTCATAACTGGAGATCTGTTTGAAAAAAGTATGTAGGATCCAATGTTTCTCATTAAGATAATCACTAATGATGAGTCATGGGTGTTCACAAGCATGGAGAACATCAAATCCAATGCAATACTCAAACTCCTGAATATTCCAAAGTAGCCTTTCAATGGTGACAGGATCGATGGGGCAATTTGCCTTTGAAGGTGATTAGGTACCATTACAGTGCTATACCATAGTTCCAGGAACTTTGACTGCCCTTATATATTGAAATTTATAGAGACCTCTACAATATATTAAATCATATTATCTCATAAGGAAAATAACAGGAAAACTTATTTGAGAAGACTGTTGTAGTATTTGCAAATCTGAAGATGGAGCTTCATTACTGATTGTATATTGCTATAATTAGATTTATTGGCACAAACTTATATTGAGCTATCATAAGCTTGTAATGGGCTTATTATAGATCAGTATAAATCCAGCTACATCATATGATTAGTTGATATATAAACTTGTGTAATGCAACATCAAATTAAATTCATCCCATGTCAGTCTTATTTAAAATTAGTGGAAGCCAGTCTTCTCTTTACTCCTCTATATGATTTTTTGTTTGCATATAGATCTGTATTATTATTAGAAGTGGTCAGACAAACTGAATATCTAATGGATCTAATTATTCCATAATAATAAAATCTATAAAACTTAAGGAAATTGTTTCACTATGAAAAACTACTAGGTTTTATTAAACAAATTCTCTTAATAGCTTTTTCTTAATACTTGTTTCTCTTGATAGTGGCACAAAGTTCTTATACTAGTTGAAATGGACCACATAAGGATGATACCAGCTGACATTTTATTATTGAGAACTGACAAACTCAATCCAGCAAGTGTAAATACTTGTACAGTAGAGCCTCGAAAACTCGGCACTCGATAACCCGGCACTCCGGATAACTCGGCCACACCCTGGCAGGGCAAAAAAATCCTTAGTTAATTAATTTTCATTATAGACAGCTTTATAAAAGTATAAAAGCTCTCATAAAGTATTTTTCTGAGGTCTGTCTTATCAGGTAAATTACTGTACACAGTGTATTCATTAATTTTCATTTTCATGTAGTAAAGGCTCTATGCCTTCATAAAAGACGTACTTTTCCTTTGTTTAAGGGTATTTGGGCAGTTTATTCTCTGTTGTATTCTCAAGTAAACAATACATACAAATACAGTACAGTATTTTCTGAGGAAACACTCATACTTAGTTTTTTTAACCCCATTCCCGATAACCTGGCATTTTCACAAACTCGGCCACCCTTTGATCCACATTAGGCCGAGTTTTCGAGGCTCTACTGTACTATGTAAAAATTCCTTGATTAGTTTGTATATTTTAAAGGTATACGCATTCTATTCTAGTAAGCTAATATTATATTCTGATTTCTATTACCGTATGGATTAACAATGATGTGTGTAAAATTAAAACTACTTGGAGAAACTTCTTAACACATAGGCATTAAATTACAAATGAATGTTGCTAGATCGATAAGAGCTTTCGACAATAATTATTAAAAAAGAAAACTTTAACCGTTTTTAATGACCTGACGAAGATGAAAATAATTATCATCGAAAGCGCTTGTTGATCTAGCAACATTCATTTGTAATTTAACACCTATATATTAAGAAGTTTCTCCTAGTAAACAATCGGCGTGCTGTCCATTTCTGAATTAAAACTACTTATCATATAAAGTTATGTGCTGATTTTCAATGCTAGTTATTTATTATATAAATTCATATTAATAAAAAACATCCATTGTTAATTATACAAAACATTTTAAAAATGTAAATTATTAATAAAATTACAGTCACTAATACAAACATTCCAAAACCTGATACATTAGTAAAATGACAAACAAAATTAATTAAAAATAATCAAGGAGAAGTAGCACGATTTAATCTGGTAGATGTTTGGGATATTACAGTCATTAATTCAAGTTTAAAATATTTAAGATTTTTAGAATTACAGCTTATTCATTTAGATATGGAACATAACTCAATTATCTTCAATGATCCAATCAATCAATATATAATACATTTAATTTTTCATAATTATTATTGAAAATTTAACACATGGATTTATTTAAAGTTGGAATGATATGTTAAATTTTCAATAATAATAATGAAAAATTAAATGTATTATATATTGATTGATTGGATCATTGAAAATAATTGAGTTATGTTCCATATCTAAATGAATAAGCTGTAATTCTAAAAATCTTAAATATTTTAAACTTGAATTAATGACTGTAATATCCCAAACATCTACCAGATTAAATCGTGCTACTTCTCCTTGATTATTTTTAATTAATTTCATTTGTCGTTTTACTAATATATCAGGTTTTGGAATGATTTTGATTATATATATAATCATAATCATTATGTAATCAAAGAATTAAATTTTTAAAACAGTTCTATAATAAAAATAAATATGCAGTGATAAAAAGTATATATTATAAAAACACAAACACCTGAAAACACTTAAAAAAATTATATTGAAATCATAGATCTGTTAATGTTTGTTTATATTTGAGAGGACATGGCACTGGTCCTATTTTAACTTCTGATCAAGCCAATAAACTTCCTCTACTATAATATAGAAATAGCACCTATTGTTCTAACAAAGAACACCTCAACAGATGATGATAGAAAATATTCATCAAAAAGTTTAATTGATAATGCAAAATTTTATACTCTTAATGACTCTTCTTATAGCCTGATATTATCTTTTTGCTGTCTTAAGATTAATTTAGACTCTTGTTAATGTTGTCATGCTAGTCTTTGAAAGTATCATGTTATAAAAAAGTTTATTGCTTAATAGAGGCTCCAAAATATTTCTAATTAAAGTTATCTATCAGATAACTTTAATTAGAAATATTAGATATATCATCAATAAAAACTATTTTGTGTTGAATAATATATATTTATAAAATAAAATAAAAAGTTATTTGGACTTTTTGGTTATTATAATAGTTAATCTGGAGGTAAATTTTCTACTGTGCTTCTTATAAGATTAACCTCCTATATCCAAAGTATACAGTATTTATGATATTTTGTTAGTTTGAGATAGAACTGATGAATGTTATTCAGTAAAATTCATTAGTCCCTTTAGTATTTATAACAATTAGTAAATGCTACTT